TGGGGTTTCATCATGTTGGCCAGGCTGGTCTTGAACCCCGGACCTCAAGTGATCCGCCCACCTTGGCCTCCCAAAGTGCGGGGTTTACAGACATGAGCAGCTGTGCCCGGCTGAGTAGAACCTTCAATACCAGAGTTGGCTCGTGCTTCTTCAATTTTACCTTCTCACTCCTCAGCTCACCCCAGTACTACAGGTATTTCCGTGAATTCAGTGTGTCTCTTGTGCTTTTAGGTACACATGCAACTCAATGCAAAGAAGCTAAGAAAAGAAAAGAAAAAAAAAATGTACACATGCAATTCCCTCTGCCTAGAATGCCACGTCCATTGGAGTCTGCTCAATAAAGGCTAACTCATTCTTCTAGATTTAACCCCAGCTTCTGCAATTGCTCCAGGTGCAATTTATAATTCTGATTTTTTTTTTTTTTTGAGACTGAGTCTCACTCTGTTACCCTGGCTGGAGTGCAGTGGCATGGTCTTGGCTCATTGCAACCTCTGCTTCCCAGGTTCAATTGATTCTCCTGCCTCAGCCTTCCGAATAGCTGGGACTATGGGCACCCACCACCACATCTGGCTAATTTTTGTATTTTTTTTTTTTTTGAGTCTGATCTTATTTATTTGTTACTCAAAAAATCTTATTTCTGACTGGATTCAGATTTAGAAGTAGAAGCTCGCAGAGACGAAAGTCTGCGTCTCTTCGCAATTTGTTCCTGGCACTTCTCTTTAGCTTCCTTCATTCTCTTGGCCAAAAGTTTAGCATATTCTGTGGCCTCTTCCTTGTTTTTCTTAGTACGCTGCTTCTTCAGAGCAGTACGCTGCCGTTGGTGCTGCAGGACACATGGAGTAACAAGACGCTGAATCTTGGGTGCTTTAGTCCTAGGTTTCTTACCTTCTTTGTTTAAGGGCTTTCTTACAACATACTGGTGGACATCATCTTCTTTAGAGAGATTGAAATTCTGCTAGCTCTTTTGGGCCCCAGGCGACGAGGCACAGTGGTATCAGTTAGTCCAGGAATATCCTTCTTTCCTTTTTTTACAATAACCAAGTTGAGAACGCTCAGATTAGCATCCACAATGCAACCACGAACTGATTTTCTCTTTCTTTCTCCAGTTCTCCTTGGTCTGTAACAGGAATGCCCCTTACTCAGTAGCCGGCGGACACGGCCATGAGTCAAGACACCCTGCTTCATGGGGAAACCTTGTTTGTCGTTCCCACCACTGATTCAGACCACATAACCCTTCCATTCTTCACCCAGAGCGTCAGCAGCAACTTCTGTCGCCATACGCTTCTTATAAAAAGTACGAAGTTTGCGTTCATCATCCACTTCGATGAGTTTCTGGCAGCCAGTGGCTGGGAAGGAGATGTTCAGCTTCATCTTGAAGCAGCTATACGCCTTTCAGGCGCCACAGAAAAGACTAATTTTTGTATTTTTAGTAGAGATGAGGTTTCACCATGTTGCAGGCTGGTTGAACTCTTGACCTCAGTTTATCTGCCCTACCTCAGCCTCCCAGAGTGCTGGAATTACTGGAGTGAGCCACCACGCCCAGCCTTGACGTTTTTTTAATGCCATCTGTGACACCTTTATACTTCATTATGTCAGCTACCACATTGCCTAATTGTTACTTGCCTGTCTGAAATGGACTGTGAGCTCCATAAGGACAGAGAATGTATTTTACTCAATATTTTAAACCCTAGCACCTAATGCAGTGGCTAGCACATATTAGGTGCACTGTAAATGCTTGTTGGATGAAAGAATAAGTGAACAGGCTCACAAACAAGCACAGGGAAAATTACAAAGCTGTGTGAAAAGGACCATGCTATTAGGTTGGAAAGGAAAAAATACCAGTTCCTATGATTTCCTACAAAAAGGAAGAAATGCCCATTTTCAGGCAGCCCTATCCCACTTTCTGCCTCCTGCAATACGCAATTCAAAATAAAAATACTGAATAGTAAATAAAAAATCATTTTTGAAACAACAAATCTCACCCATGTGAATGAGGTCAAGATAAGCTCTTTCTCTTTGAGGCGAGGGTGGTGCCTCTGCTTTGTGGGCGCCTATATCAGTTAGGGTGCTGGCGCACTCAATTTAACTGAAGAGAATTTAATGACTATTTGCAGAGATGAAACTAGCCATGGGTAAGGAGGCACCTAAAGACTAGCAACAGTGCTGGGTGCAGTGGCTCATGCCTGCAATCCCAGCACTTTGGGAGGCCAAGGTGGGTGGATCATCTGAGGTCAGGAGTTCAAGACCAGCCTGACCAACATAGTGAAACCCGTCTCTACTAAAAATACAAAATTAGCTGGGTGTGATGGCACATGCCTCTAATCCCAGCTACTAGGGAAGCTGAGGCAGGAGAATCGCTTGAACCCAGGAGGTTGCAGTGAGCATAGATTGTGCCACTGCACTCCAGCGTTGGTGACAGAGTGAGACCCTGTCTCAGAAAAAAAAAAAAAAAAAAAAAGACTAGCAACAGCAGGAAATTGTTGCCACCCTTGGCCTGAAGGTATAGGGAGGGTGCCTGGAGCTGTAGCCATGGAGGAACATGGCCACAGCCAGAATCTCAGCCTGGTCCAGCGGGCCTCATCCATGCTCACCTCTCCTGCCTCTGACTCACCGGCCTAACTCAACCAGAAGCCAGAGCCTGGTGATCCCTGCAGATACAGTCCACAGAGCTCAGGCTCCCAGGACAGGGTAGAGAAGAGCCAAGAATGAATCTAGGTGGTGGGAGGCCAAACGGAGAGAAACCAGCATGGAGGGGAGATGCCTCTGCTTTGTGTGCAACGTGTATATGATTAGTTTGCCTCCCAGGTAATCAAGCACTGAGTCGAAACCTGTAGATGGGAGTTCTAAATCTCGTGTTTTGTATAGTTAGGTATTTGTGTGTGCAAGTTTCTTAAAATTGGTGCCACTAATTAGTAAGTTTTGGTTGGGGCAAGGGCATCTATGTTTTTAAAGGCTTTTCAAGTAATTTTGATAGGTACCACTTGTTGAGAACCACTGTTACAGTCCACCTTCTCATTTTTATAGACAGGCAAACTAAGGTCTAGAGAAATGAAAAATGCCCTGACTTTGCAACTTTCTGTTTGAGAATATCCCTTAGGTGATGTTAGAGGTTTTGGCTGGAAAATTGGAATGTTTGCACGTTTTGCTAGCCCATTTCCTCCATTTTATTCATGAGGAAATGGAAACTCCAAAGACGGAATGATGTGCTCAATCCATCCACAACCATACTAGTGAGTCACGGAGAAGGAGCGCTAGGACTAAGTATGGCATTTCTATCTCAGATCAGTGTTCTCTCTAGGAAGCACACTTTGTAGGAGTGTGTGAGTGTGTGTGTGTGTGTGTGTGTGTGTGTGTGTGTGTGAGTGACAAAGCCCTGGGGCAGCAGTTCTAGTCCTTCATTCTGGTAAGGTGGTCTCCCTGAAGTCCCTAACTGGAAAGAAGGTGGAGTAGGCAGAGGTCAGTGACCCTTAGAAGTTTATGCCCAAGGGGACTGGAGGGGATGGGGGAAGATCTAGGTGATCCCTGTTCCAAGCCTTGACTCTCACTCTTGTTGCACTGGGCTCTGAATCTCTGGTTGCCAATTCTCTCACCAGAAGAGGACTATCACCCCTCTGAGTGGGTGTCGGGTCAACAGCACAGACTTTAGGGAAAACTGAGTAGGACTCAGAAGAAAAAGGAAGAGACCCATTGTGAGAGGGGCTCATGGACTTCAGCCCACAGGTCTCTGCCCAAACAGCACAAGGCTCAGGACCAGCACAAGGGCCTGTGCCACCATGCCAGGATGTCTGAAACTCCTTTATGGCTGCTAATTAGGGCTGGTCACCCCCTCCCCACCAATTCCCAAAGCCTGACACACAGCTACTGCCCTTCGACAGCAGATCACAGACCACTCGCCCATCCTTTGCGATATAGCTGAAATCTCCATCTCTAGGACCGCTAAATTTCCTAAAGCCAGCAGCATTTCTTCTTTCTCATCCTACACATGTCAGAGTTGGGTGGAACCTTAGAAATCATGTGCTCATCTTCTAAGTGAGGAAATCAAGACCAGAGAGGGGAAGTGATTCACCCAACCTAACAGCATGGAAGTGACAAAACTGGGACTAGATTTCAGTCCATCTGGCCACTTACCTGTCCATCCATGTAATTCCAATGTTTCTGAACATGCATGGCTCTGAATGAGCTTGTGTTCCTTTAGTCTATGTAAAATCAACACTAAATCCACTTGGGAGGTATTTTTAGCTCATGCTCCTTTGGGTCCTTGAGTTTGCTCAGGTCTGCCTGTCTTTCTTGGTGGTCTCTTGTATGTGTGGCACTTGTCTCTGAGTTGTAAGAGGTGTGTACCTATGGGCAATTATCTGTGTTTGTTTCTATACTAGGATCATGGGTCAATGAGCTGCTGCTCGCCTGTATATGTCTCTATTCTTATGTGGAGGATATGTGTCAATTTGTGGTTGTTGGTTTTGCATCTGTGTACTTGTTGAGTGCTTAAGAGTAATTGTGATTCTGTATGTGTGAGTATATATGCTACGATTATGGGTCTATGGCAGCTGCATAGACCCATTGCTGATTTTCAAGTTGAAGGTTGTGTGTTTGCTGATCATTTGGATGTGTGTTGGTACACAGTGAAGATTGTGGGTCCAATTGCAATTGTATTGGGGTGGACTGCATGTTTAAAGGCTTAAGGGAATCTGTCTGCCTTTTCCTCCTGGGTTATGAGAAAATGTCTGTGGCTATGCGTCCAGGACATCAATGTGTTTGTCTCTGAGCCAAGCTCAGTCCTCACCCAGGCACCGGGGTCACGGTCACGTTCATGTTCCGTGGACGCCTCGGCACGGCCTCCCGAGGGGGGCGGGGCGTGGGGGCCCCCGCCTCTTGACCCCTGGGAGATGCCTCATTTCTCCGAGCTGCAGCCAGGGGCCTGGCCGGCGCCGCCAGCCGGGCTCCGCCCCCCCCGGCCCCCGCCCGCTCATTGGCCGTGGCTGCGGTGACGTCATTGGGCTCGCTGACAGAACCCGGGCGCCCGACGCTCTGGAGATATTGTCCGTCCCTCCCGGCTTTGTAGAGTCGCCGCCGGCTCACCTGGCCGCAGGCGCGTCTTGGCAGCTGCAGCCCGGAGCGGGGTCCCAGCCGCCGCCTCCGCCGCCGCCATGGTGTCCCCGGTCACTGTGGTGAGTGAGTGAGGAAGCGAGCCAGTTTCCGGCGCGGCCGGAGCCCACCGGCCTGGCCACCGGGCTTCGGCAGGCCGAGCTGCTGGGGGCCGAGGCGGGGCGGGGGTCCCGCGGCTGCCGGCGTCCCCAGGCGGGAGGCGGGCGCTGTCATGGCCCCCTGTCCCTCAGACCCGCGGCGCCCCTCCTCGCGCGCCCCCAGCCCGCCCGCGTGAGGGAGGAAAACAGTGGCCACGTGACTCGGCAGCGTGACTTTGTTGATCTCCGCGTATTTGGCGCGGGTCCGCGGGGTCCGGGCCCGGGAGAGGGAGGGGACCGCTGCAGTCCTCCGGGTTCTGCGTAGGCGGACCACAGAGAGGCGTGGGAGAGGGTGGGGGGAGGCTGGTAGGGTGACAAGGACCTTCTGGGAATGCTGTCCTAAGTTTGTTTCCTGACCCACCTCATTTCATAAACAAGTCGGTGGACGCCCCCGAGTCTAAGGAGCGCTGATAAAGCGCTGGGTGAAGAGGAGGCATTTTCCATGACACCCTCTCCTTTTCAGACTTTCTCAACTTGAACCTTTTGTTTCGTCTCCCCATCCTCCTTATTCTACTGCTGGGTTCTCTGTATCTGTCAGGGTTTCCCCAGCTACTGTCGGCATCTCCTTCTAGAAAATATGGGGCTGGGGGAGGGCACGGAGTGGAGGTTGATGCTTCCAAGGGCTGGCAGCTGGTTGCTGGGCATTGTGGGTCTGGGCATCCCCTCCAGCCTCCTCCTCTGACCATGCCCCTACCCTGACCAGCCTTAATTTCCATGGGAAGTGGAAGTCATCTCTTCTTCCTGCTCTTACCTCTGGCAGAACAAGGAAAGGCTTGGACCCTGAACCCACCCATCTTCCTCTTCCCAATCCTCCTCATCACACTCTGATCAGTCCTTGTGTACCTGGTGGTCTGGGAGTCCCAGTGTTTCCTGAGTCCTGTGCTGGACAGCTCACCTAGCGACAGACACAATCACTTTGGGCAGAATGTGGGTGTACAAAAAACCCCAGCTGTTCCATATCACTCTCAGGGAATCTGTTAGCAGCCCAAGGAAAGGAGCTTCAAGGATCACAGATTCAGAACATCGCAGCAGCCCCCTCCCCCAGCTTGGACTCCGCCTGTAGTGGCCTTGGGTACAACCTTTCTTTAGTGCCCTCTGCTAATCCGGCTGAGACCAAGTCAGCTGCTCTAACTTCCCCCTCTCAGTTCCCCATCTCCCAGCCTGTCTGCTGGCTCCAGATCAGAAGCTGGGAAGAGAACCCCTCCCCCCTTCCTGCCTGTTTCTGGTGTGCCTTGAGTTGCTCTTCTCTGGGAAGTCAGGCTGACACACACCCCCAATCCTTGAAATCTTTGGTGTTTGAAGGACAGTTTTCTTGCTCCCAACTCATGGGTCCATTTGTCTTGCCAGCATCCCTAACATAGCTCTCCTTGCCCTTGATGCCACCATTAGTCTGGGGCAGGTTGAGTGGAGGCTGAGGAAGAGATTGGTTGAGGAGAGAGGCTGTGGAGGCTGAGGTGGTTGGCACTGCCTGCCCTCCCACATTCCTTGCACACACCTGGTGTTGCCAGGGCCCTAAGGCTGTGCCCTGGCCTCTTGCTGAGGATCACGAGTTGGCCAGTCAGGCGTCTCTGTGGTTTCCCACTGACTTCACTCCATTCCAGACAGCTGGGGGCTGTTGCTGGCACAGAGAGGGGCTGAAGGGGCCTTGAGGAGGGAGAAGGAGGGGGCAGGGAGGGAGAAACACACTAGGCTGCAGAAGGGGACATTATTCCAAAGTCTGTTTGCTGCCTAGTGAGTGACTATTCCAGCCCAGTCTCAGGGCCAAGAGTGGAGGCAGATGGCAACAACAGTGGAGCCCTTTCCCCTCCTAATATACTGAGCCTCAGGGCATTGATGGGTTTGGCCACACCCTGCTGGCTGGTAGGAGCAGGCCAGGCTGGGTTTCTCTGTGTCAGTCTTCCCAGGTTGGGGGTGGAAGTGAGGTGGGGGTGTGGGTGGGAGTATCTCTGGGGTGGATACCTAGGCTGAGGGTACTGGCTGTAAGCCCCCAAGTTCTGAGTGCTGCCGCTGTCCTGTGTCCTCCAGGTGAAGAGTGAAGGACCCAAACTGGTGCCGTTCTTCAAGGCTACCTGCGTGTATTTTGTGCTCTGGCTGCCCTCATCTAGCCCATCGTGGGTCAGCGCCCTCATCAAGTGCCTGCCCATCTTCTGCCTCTGGCTCTTTCTTCTGGCCCATGGCCTGGGATTCCTGCTGACCCACCCCAGTGCCACCCGCATCTTTGTGGGGCTTGTCTTCTCTGCTATAGGTGATGCCTTCCTCATCTGGCAGGACCAAGGATACTTCGTGCATGGTCAGTGGCCATCATAGTGGCCTGGGAGGAGTCCTGGGGCTGGGGGATAGAGGGTCCTGGGCTGTGGGCAAAGATTTGGAAGAGGGAGTTTTTGAACCAGAGTATGGGGAACCTGAGGGTTTCTAAGGCCAGGGACTGTGAGGGTCCCTGTTAGCGGATGACCTCTGCAGGGTATCTAGTGATGAGTTCCAGAGTCCTTCAGGGGACTGGGGTGGTGGTCTTTAACTTTAGACCTTCCTATCTCTGTTATCCCAAAGCAAAGATGCTGGGTTATCCCAAACACTCCACTTCCCTATCTCCATACCCACTCTCACCCCATTACTCATTCTTCATCAAGCTTGCCCTCAGCTGCCTTTGCCCCTCTTACCCCCAGGTCTGCTGATGTTTGCTGTGACCCACATGTTGTACGCCTCAGCCTTTGGCATGCGGCCATTGGCTCTTCGGACAGGTCTGGTGATGGCAGTGCTGTCGGGCCTGTGCTATGCCCTCCTCTACCCGTGCCTCTCAGGTGCCTTCACCTACCTGGTGGGGGTCTATGTGGCCCTTATTGGCTTCATGGGCTGGCGAGCTATAGCAGGGCTGCGGCTGGCTGGGGCAGACTGGCGCTGGACTGAGCTGGCAGCTGGCAGTGGTGCACTGTTCTTTATCATCTCAGACATGACCATCGCCCTCAACAAATTCTGTTTTCCTGTGCCCTACTCTCGGGCAGTCATCATGTCCACCTACTATGCGGCCCAGATGCTCATCGCTTTGTCAGCTGTTGAAAGCCGGGAGCCTGTGGAAGACTATAGACTGAGCAAGGCCAACTGAGGTGCCAGGGTCTGGTCACCCCTCTCTTCTCCTGGGGCTGGGGCCCAGATCCTGGGCACCTACAGGAGCTGGATCAGGATGGCTGCAGTGCCAGCCTGGGGCAGCAGGTACTGCCTGGGGAGTTTGCAATTTTTGGAGTGGGGAAGCTGGAAAAGGATCTCCCTAGCAGACCTTGTGGTCCAGGACAATGCTGAGAGCTAAAAGAGCCAGCCAAACCCCTGACTGGAGCCAGAAGTAGACCTCTCCCCATCTCTACACTATCAGGACTTTAAAAAGCCCACCTGGAAGGTGATGGTGCTCAGCTTCTTGACAACCCCCTTCCCCTACTCGGCGGAAGAGTCTGACGCCATGTGTTATGCCTAGGACCAATGGCAGTGCTGGGTTCACCCACTCCTCCACTTTCTCATCTGCACAGAGTTGAGGTAAATGGGAGAATCTGTACTGAGAAGACTCAGACCCAGGAGCCCCTTTCTCAGGCCCCTAGTTGGGGAGACTGAATGAGAGTGGAGCCTCCCTTTCTTTTCCCTCTTCTATCCTTGTTACTTGAACAATCTCTATCTCCAAGTGGTGGGTGGGGATGTGAAGACGTGTGGGTCCAGGCTAGGCAGGAGAGAGAACTTTGGTCTCAGAGCTTAGGGTCTCAAGAATTCAAGTGGCCCCATCTCTCTCTCAGGCAAGCCCAAAACTCAGGTCCCATACACCACCCTTAGATCCTATCCCTAAGGCTAGGGTGAATCATGCCAAAGGAAGGGGCCAGCCTCTGTGTGTGTGTGTGTGTGTGTGTGTGTGTGTAGTCTGTCTCCCAGCCTACCCTTGTCTTTATCTACCATATGTCTCTGTCCTGCTGTCTGTCAAATGTCTCACAGAGAGAGGGCCTCAGGGAGCTGCTGAGGGGTGCTGAGCCTGGCTTAGGGAGCTGGGACGCCTCCCTTCCAACACACACACAATGCTTTCCTCCTTGCCTCTCCTACGCTAGGAGCAAGAGCAGGGGGCTCCAATGACACTCCGGGGTTTTAAGACCCAAGGCACATTCAATGCAAGGGGAGCAAGGGTGGGACAACTCCATCTTCTGCTGCCCATGTGAAAAAAAATAAAAATCAAGAGCCATTTGCTGCCCTGCTTGTCCGCCTGTGTGGCACGTGCCTATCTTGGAGAGGGTGTGGGGACATGGTGCCAGGGTCTCTGGCTCTCCTCACAGCCTAGTCACAGTCCTGGGCAGTGCATCTTGGTGCCAGGCTGGCTCCCTGGCTCTGGTGACGCTGTGCTGGTTGGAGTGTGTCTCACTTCCCTGGTGTGGGTGAGGATGTGGTTTAGGAGGATGGGGATGGGTAGTATTTGCCACTGTCCAAATTTGGCCTTGATGTACTCCCCTGTGCACAGGTGCCCAGCACCCTTGGTGATCTTTAGTTACCCTATGTCCTCTATTGCTGCCTGCCTCCTTCCCTTCCCACCTGAGACCTGCTGCCTGCTCCAAAATGATCCAGATTCCCTTCAAGCATCTCCCTCATCTTGGACTCTGGGCTTAGTTGAACAGCTGGAAGCAATGGGATTAGATTGGCTGATTCATTCATTAGATGTAAAGCCCTGGCAGAATAATGCGTCACCCTACTGCAGGAGCATTTGCAACTTAACAGGCAATGCTCTAA